TGCATATCGCCACGTTCAGAGCACCTTACCCTGTGGCTTATCCCTCAACTGGGATGCATATCGCCACGTTTAGAGCACCTTACCCTGTGGTTAATCCCTCACAACTGGGATGTATATCGTCACGTTCAGAACACCTTACTCTGTGGCTTATCCCTCAAAACTGAGATGCATATTGCCACGTTCAGTTTTCAGTGATTTATCAAACTTTACTAGTTACACCAGTCGTGTATCGCTACGTTGTTTAAGTACCAGTGATAATGTTCACAATGGATATCCATCACCAGTTCATGCCTTAAATCTTCCAACTACTAAAATGCTCGGTAGCTTAACCGGGTAAACCAGTTGTGTATCGCTATTTTACATTTTCTCCAATATGTTAAGCAATTAATTAACTGGAAAGTACTCACCAAAACTTTCGTTACATTTAATAAAAAGATTTTATCACCATTACGTATACTAAATATAAAATTCACTGTTTTATTTTACGAGGGTAGGCACCCGAGGAGAAAATATATCACCGATTGTTTGAACAGCTAAACGCGAGTTTTCGTATTGTATCCCACTTCTGATATAAGAGTTCTAACGTTTTTACCTTGATCCTAATATTTTAACTATTACTGAACTTGAATATTAACAACTATTATACCGACAAGCAGCAATAGTGGTTATATCACCGTCCGGGAACGCAGTCGAAATCCAAGTGCCCGCTGCTCCATGCGACAATGTGTCCCTTGACTCGAGTAGATAACGTCATATCAGGTATACAGTGTTGCCAGCGACAACATAACTAACAAGTTACAAACAAAAAATGGTCTCGGGTGGGAATGGAATCTTTGACTTTGATACTGACATCTATCTTAGCAACTGTGTCGACGTTTTCATGTGTAAAATTTACAAGTGAATAGGTGGTTCACCTAATGTTAAGTAATTATGTAAGGCAGCCCATGGACCACTATACTGCCGTCATATGGATAAAAGACGAATATGACATTTAAAAAAAATAGTTATTGTATTTATTGGCTTATATTACGTACATGTATAGTAACATAATATGGTTATGTACATATTGGGTTTTCCGTACTGATTCCCAATATGTAAATAACTCATTTTTGGAATAATGTCATGTACGTCTTTTTTCCGTATGATGGTAGTATGTATAGCAACAGATGGGTTGCAAATACGTTGCCAACCTTAAAATCTGTGAGCTTTGGTCACCTCACTCATCAGACCAAAAGCAAAAGTATCCACTTCACATTTGTCTACCGGCAGGTGGACTACCAGCTACGGTATCCCCGGGGCTAGACTTCCCATTCTTGCAACAGTTGAAGCCGTTGCGTGGCCCTACTACAGTAAGTAACCATTTAATCGCATTTGACTACATAAAATCAAATCAAATCAAAATAAAAATCATTTATTCATCGAAATAAGAAATATACATTTCATTTATCGATAGTCATTTTTTAAATCTACCACCGTTTCGTAATGAGGTTCCTCTAGAGGAGAAGAAACCCCGTAGGCATCCTCTTTTTTGTAATTCATTTTTTCTTAAAAAAAAATCTTTTTTCCTTTTAGAAATAGCTTGGGAGCGATCAACTCATTCACATATATACATACACCCAGGGGTTATTGTCATTAATGTATTCATTTGTATTATAATAACCCTTTTATAAAGTTTTTGTTTAATAAATTTCTTAAACCTGTTAATAGACAGGTTTTGCGCATTTACTGGGATTTTGTTGTAAAAGCGTATACACCGCCCCATGAACGAGTTACTTACTCTATGGAGTCTAGTAACTGTGTAACATAGTTGTGATACAGCTAGCTTCTCCTTTATCTTCTTTACTATACTTTACTTTAGGATAACATTATCCTGTGTTGTAAAGACGTTTTACACACATAAATTTCACGTGAACAAACACACACCGTTGCGAAATCACTATCTGTGGGTCACACAAAAGTGTGGAGATCGAATCCACGACCCCCGAAGCTGAAACCAAATACCGTAGCAACTGCGCCGCGGAGTCAGCCTCGCAATAATCAAGTTCCGTTTCATCGCAGTCGGTTCACTCAAACTGAAGATCATTTATGCAGTCATCTAACTACTAGATCAATTTGGACAGTTTTTAATTTTGTTAAATGACATAGTTCACAATAAAAAAAATTACCTTCCATACAAAACGTGCTATCAGCGATAATGTTTTCACTATGATAACTTAAATGTTTAGTTTCAAAATAAAAAGGTGTTACTTAAGACATAAAAAGTAAAGTAACAGCCTATACATGTCCCACTGCTGGGCAAAGGCCTCCTCTATACAGAGGGTATCAGGGCATAGTCCACCACGCGGCCCCACTGCGGATTGGCGGACTCCACAGATCTTCGAAATATATTTTTTTTGTTATTATTTCGAAAATATGCAGGTTTCCTCACGATGTTTTCCTTCACCGCGGAGCACGTGATAAGTCAGCACTTAAAGTTAAAAACTTCATTGGTGCCGGCACCGGGGATCGAACTCAGGTTGCTCGAGTATATTGAATTAAAGGCGAGCGCCCGGACACTGAGCTATCACGGCTCTTGAAATTTGATCCTACGCAAAATCTAGATGGCGTTGTTAAATTCCTAAAATGTGCACATAGCTAATGTTTTCATAAGTTTATTCGAGGCACAATTTATTTTATGTGTTGAGAAGTTTTTTATTTATTGAGAAGGTGGCATGCGAGCTGGCGGTTTGTATTTTACTCTAATTAGTATTCTTCTTAATTTTCCGATTTTCGTTTTGCCTTTCATTTGATTGATACCCGTATTATGGAGTGCATAAAAATAAGTCAGATATCTTGGGTGGTTCGCCATATTAGGCGGCTAAATGTGATCTGCCATTCAAAGAGCGTTTGAAATTTTAATTTTTATGGTATTATTCTTACTACTGCCAGCTTCGATACTTACGTCACATTTACATATACTTACGCTTGAAATCTCTTCGTGTCACCGCCGTGAGAATCGCGAAGACGCAGCAATGAAAACAGACTTGCAAAGCCCAGATCCGCTTTATACCAATCAGACCAACATGGCTCAAATCATGTTGATTTCGGTTAAGTAATATATTAATTATAGTATATTATTCATGTCAAAAAAATGGCAAAACGAATGTTCTAAGTTTTTTTAGTTTCTTTTAGTTTTCCAAGTTTTTAAGAGGTCTGCCCAATTATAAATTTAAATTGTTTATAGTGCTAATTTTTGCACTTAAGATTGAACATTAAAATATGTAGAAAAAGTGCGAAAAGATTGTCGCCGCTGTGGGAATCGGTTCGATTCCCACAGCGGCGACAATCTTTTCGCACTTTTTCTACATATTTTAATGGTCTGCCCAATTGTTTAGCAGCAGAATCGGCTGAGTGGCCCCATCAGTTAAGTAACCATCAGTTACCTTGACTATTGTGCTTGGCTTCAATTTATTCGATTAGTTACATTTTTTACTTATTAGGTACTCAATATTAACCAAATAACTATTTGAATGATAAACTAGTTACTTGTTAAAATTATCAAAATGAAAACGCAAAGGTACAATTTTTACAATTAAAGTTTTTTCAATGTTTCTTTCAAGATTTATGTTCTCTTCACACCATGTAGTATTTAATTTTCACAGTTTTGCAAAGGGATTGTAAACGTTGTCTAATGTTTAGAAAAGAATGCTTTAATTATGTAAAATTTCAACACAATACCGAAACAGTAAGTACTCACATAGATTATAATATATATGGTAAAATACAAAACATTAGACATCATTAGGGTTTCAATAAATAAAACAACAGGTAAGTTTGAAATTAATTTATTTAGTCGGATTTGAAATTTTTATAGTTTGTTTGAGGAGCTCTATTTTGATTTCAACTAAAGTTTAGTTATTTTTATATAGTTTTGTTTTTGAGTTTAACCGGTTCCCTAATCCTACACCCGCTGAGAAGAACCGGAAAGAAACTCAGCGAATGTTGTGTAAACATGATTTATGACTAACTTTGTCACTGTAAACTGTAAAATTAAAAATAAATAGCAATAAATATTTTTTACAATACAAACCAAACGCGTAGTTGATTTTATAACAATTTCTTAAAACATTTTTTGTTATGTTTGTTTAGATTCGATACAATATAATAATACTCGAATACAATAAATACCAGTGTGTTCTATAAACACAATTCGCAATTTTTGTATTTACTTTTTCATACATTTTTTTAATTACATTTCTAAACATCGATTAAAAAAATACAAAACTATTATTTACAGTACTTCCCAAGTTAAAATTATTTGTAAAAGTTATTAAATACATCATATTTATCACAATATTATTGCATTATACCCGTATACATTTTGCTAAAATAATGTTTATATTTTTGTACATTGTAATACTGAAATAATTTCTAGTGTTAATTCAAATTAATAATGCTTTTAATCCATCATTAGTTTTTTTTTTCGAATATATTTTGTGAAAGTTTAATATTTTACACAAGATAGAAGTGGTTGAATTTAATTTGGTATAGTATAATTGCAAATGTTTAACATTTAAAAGAGTAACATTTATTAAAAATTATCATCTGTTAAACAAAACTAATACAGAAATATTAAAGAGTCGCTTAAACTATCTATGACATTTTATAATTCACTTTAATACATAAATGAATAGATTAAATATACATAATAAAAAAAAACTTTAATAATCAACCTTATTATCTCTTAGAGCTTAACTTTTTTATTAATAGATATAATTAACATTTATTGGTCGAATGCTTTTACAGATATAATCTGTGGCATACCTAATTATTATGTTTACCTTTAACACCCCTACATGGTCATCGCCCGGTTTTGGTTGACTGTCACTGCAATTATTTAGATTCCCGTCGCATTATTTTAAGTTGCCTCCTACCGTTACGATTTCAAGGTTTCTGTCTTTTTTAATGATCCAATAGCAATCTTTACAGTCAAAATTATTTCAGGTTTTTCCGTTTATTCATTTTATCCTAATGGTCCATTTAATTTCTCTTTCATAGCATCTGCGATATCGGATGAAAATGTCAATTAGCTACCCGCTTCTTGTGGTCTAGGTCTTTCTCTAAATACAGTACTTTAAAACTATGCTAACATACACAGGCGCCAAAATAAAACATAAAATATTCAGTAAGCCTTTTATAAGAATTACAACACATTTCACCCACCTATTTAGCGTTTGATTAGGACTGCATGTTTTAATGACTATGTATTAGCATTGAGCATGCCTGATTTTCTTAAGCTAGTGTTGTTAGTATTTATAAACGAAATTTATGATGCACGTTACACGGAAAATCCGTCGTACAGTCACACTACGTTGCAGATGATTTCCAACGCTCTATCTCGCGTAGTCTATCTCGAATAGCACTGCTATATACAGATAAACATGGATCTGAAATTTAATCAATGACTGTTATTTTGGGAACAAGATCAGAACGAAATTTAAACATTTTCAATTCGGATCTTGTTGCGCGTACATTCTATTTTACATTCAAATGTTAGTTATATTTAGGAAATATTCCTTAACTTACTTCTATAAAGCCTAGTGTGGATTTCAATCTTATTGAATAGCGTCTATGTATGTTCTAAATACTTTTGACTTGTATAATTTCTATCATTTCATCGTTTCGCTGAAGCAGCATTTCCGGCATATATTTGTAATAGGTACACTAATAATGTATTTTTCCTGTATTGTTCATTAGTTCGTAGTCCTGTCATACTTTTGTGTATTTCTCATTGATATGATTTTCAAATTACTCTTTGTTCACTCCAATTTCAATTTTCAAATGCAGTTAGCCTTTCTTAATCATATTCAGCCTTTAATTGTCGATGTACAATTAATGCAAATCGTTATCAACGCCTCCGCATCGCGGTTAGATCATCAATAGTAAAAAGCGAACAAGCTCTTCAGCGAACAAGAAAGCAGTGGTAAAAGAGCACAAAAATAATTAATCTAAAAGTATTAAACAATAAAGACTTTACAGACATGAGGGCAGAAAGTAAACACACGAATTAATTTCAACATAACAAAAGTATTAAACGTAAATCACCAACTCCCGTGTATGTGACATGTGTGATATCGATTAGCCCCATCGTTTGGATGCGAACAGTGCTGTTTTAACAACGAATACGCATTCAATTTGCACAAGCAAGTTTCATCGCATCAATCCAGAACTACAGGTTAGACACAATGCAACTAGATCAATTATTTACGTGTACTCGATTTCTGGAACATTTGCGCCAATGTCTCGTTTAGCCGCCGTGCGCGTCGCAAAGGTAGCCCCTTGTGTTTGCATTGCTAACGAAAAGTGTAAGATCATGCCATAATAACGCTAATGGTTCGGTAATAGCATTGGTTTAATAGAATAAGAAAATAAATAAGATACAGACAGATGAGATATTTTTGGATGTAGCATCGGGTTCGACTATATGTTTAACTGATCACACCACAACACCCATAATAAGCACTCGAAACTACACAGAAAACTCTAAACATGTTTCATTTCGAATGCACTATATCTATTCGTATCTATTAGGGTTGTCAAATGCACTTTCACAAAAATTTTATTCTCAAGACACCAGAAAAATGTATCAACTCTGCATTTGGAAAAAAATATATATTATCCATATTTTTACACACAGCATTTTAGCATTCAAAAATGTATGTATATATTTTTCCTTATATGTGCATTTACTGAATGAAACCTTAGCTAGTTTTTAAATATTTGAATACTAAAACAACTCTGGAACAAACTCACGCAACTAAAACTCTCAAAAATACTATCATCAAACAATTCTACTTATAAAATTTGTCACTTCACGGACACCATTATGCACTGAATTTTACGTTTAATTTTCACGTTACTTTTGTAAGGAGCCTGACTTTCGATATGGTCATGTGCATCGTGTGAGATTTTTGCTTGTTTCACTTAAGTAACATTTTGACGCTCATTTTGAAGAGATTTGTTGTGAGCAGTGTATGTCTTACAAATGAAATCTTTTATAAATAAACATTCCATGATTCCGTTAAATATTACATCAAGTTTTTTCAACTTTTATTACTTGTTTTTTTTTTTGGTATGTCCTTCACTGATCTTGAACTATTTTCGTATCAAATCCATGCTTACTTTCTGACTTTACTAAAATATATCGAGTTGTTATGTTAAGGCCACACTACTCGAATAACTTTCATTTTTTTCACACTTTTCAATTAGAAAAAGTTTTATTCGTTAATTTCTTGTATTTTTTTCTTTATTTCTTAAATTCTTGTTAAAGCTGTCTTCTAGGATTCTCTTAATGTATTTCGAACGCGTTAATGCTTGTTATTAACTCTCGTTAATTAATCGATATATATATATATATCTTACTTGCTTTATTCATTTTTAACGCATCAATTCCAATCCTATGTCAACTAAAAATAACTGATAATCCTAAGAGAATTTTATAAGATAAAATGGGTTAAGGAATGAAAACAATAAGAGTAGTAATCTAAAACTGATGTTAGGAAACAAGATTTTTCAGTACAGCAACACATTTCACACTATATATTATACAGAGCGAAATTTAAATTGCACTTAAAACAGAATTTGCAATACTTACAATGACCAGTTATGTGATACAATCGAGGGATTAGTTTTAACTGCCTTACGGGCCTCTTACGATAAACTCTTTCATTACCAGTATTTATCCGTATACAAACATTCCAAAAACTTTCTCAGATCACGATCCTGGTTCAGTAAAGTGGCAAACTAAAATCCTCCTTTTCGTTGTATCATAAGTCCAATCGTCAATCCCCTTGTGAAGACCTTACTATTGTTGCTACACAACATGCTGTATTATTGAAACTGCAAAATTTGTGGATCGGGTGCAATAAGTCGCGAAAAGCTCCGAGCAATACATACACAACATTCGATCTCGTGCCGAGTGCAATGATTTCACCGTTTTGACGAACAAAGCGGAAATTGTTGAACAAAGCCCGGTCTAAATTATTAAAAGCAACGCCAATACGCTCAAGACAGTGAAATATACAGATCGGAACCGCCTAAAAAGAAAAATGTTAGATCACAGCATGTCCCTTACCAAAAAGCGCCTCTGAGGAAAAACGTGTCCTATGTTTGATACTAAATGCCAAAATGTGATTAATATACGAAACAAAGAAGCGTCATGTTAACAAGAGTTGAGATTAAATATATAAAATTGATTATACAAATGGAACTACGTATTTTCTGTTAAAGCGACATTATGAACAACATTGTCATCACCGAAGTTTACAGAATTAGTAATAAAAACGTTAAATAAAACATTTAACGAATTTCTTTATATTCTTAAATAATATATTCTATAACAAACAAAGTTTATTTAAATATTACAAAACAATTCGTACTTACAGTTTATACTGCTTTATACATGAAGGCCATATAGAATCAAAAACTGCATAAACATATTAAAATATACGTGAACAATGTATTGGGCAAACGTTATTTTTTGAAAACCTTTTATGACAGTTATATCATTGCTAAAAAATGCATATCCGAATAATTGCCAACATACAGTGACTAGCCCGAATTATTCATGCAATGTATTGGATCGCTACATTGTGTAATCCATGCACGTATTGCTTATTTATAGTTTAGTTTATTTAACGCCTAAAAATGTGCTGTAATTTTGGAAAAAAAGACATTATATTGATAGGAAGGTATCGCGGAATCCTTCTGTAAAGAAACAGTTAAAAACCTGCGAAAGAAGTTAGTAGAAAGTAGTAATCTGAGACGCAGAATTGTGAACAACGTGAAGTCACTAAACCTAAGTAAGAAGTATTAAATTAAGGATACGAAATACTTGCTTGCAATGCGGTTATCTTATTTAATTTGGTAGCTGGAATATAAATAGGGAATCGGCTGGAAGAAATAAATATGTATGTCTACGTAAAACAATTAAAGTAAGAGCCTCTTTCCTGCAAAAATATGGGAATTATGGATGCAAGTAATGATAATTAAAGGCTAATATAAGAAACAATTACCTCGCGATTACGTGACGTCATTATTTCCTTTGTGAACGGCGTTCGAACTTTCCGGATAATCGGTGGCATTTTATAACACAAATACCTGAGAACTGTACGACACCATTGTGGTTTGATTCAACTATACCTTATTGGAGTTAAGGCATCGCTAGACCTTCACGCGTGGGCTTTATTGCTGTAATTATGTATCAAGTAAAGGAAAACAATTGTAATCCAAGTAGATAGTTGTTATTTTCGATTTCACCGATATCGCTTCTCGCCTGTATATCGTACCTATGATATGATACATGCATAAACCATTTCAAATACCAGCTCAAACTTGGTCTCTAGAACGCAGTCGACTCTCGAAATTCCGATTTATACAAATCCAAAAGATTAACTAATTACTACGTTTTATTACTTACATAAAAATTAAATACATACGTAATGGTACATTCGAACATAAAAATATCAATCTGGAGCCCCGAACAAAACTGGACATCTACAGCGAAGCATAACGGAATATTTCTCCAAAATTAACTCGTGTGCGTTCACAGGAAACCCCTGGTTTAAAACTAAGTAACAGAAATTGTATCGAAAATATTTATGAATCTACACTGCAGGCGGCTTTGTCTGCGAAAAAACAAGGCACGAACAAAACAATATGTCAACCTGCAAAGGAAGTGTTAATGATAAAATTTAAAGATGTTTCGGCACCTTCTCAAACCGGATAATGCGACTTACGCTGTTGTTTGACCGATAGCTAAATCACTTATGTTTAATGATTTCAATAGTAAAATTATCAATTCTTGTAATATATATATGTATATATTCTCAGAAAATACGTTAACGTCTGGAGCTTAAACACCTGTCCTAACTCCATCACCTAGAGCGGTAATTCTAACATCTATAAGTATTATTTTTATTTCTCGATAAACTTCAGCACGCAAGACTTTCGCAAGTCATCTATCGCTGTAAATAAGGTTCTGATAAAAACCATTTAAGCTATTTTCAAACTAGAAAAGACTAACGTTCGATGCATTGTCTGGAGCACAGAGCAGGCAATTAACCCATCACGTTTTCAAATCAAGTTATCAAACGCCTATAAGAAGCAAATTTAGCAAGCATCTATGTTTCCGTTAGCTAGAAAAGTCATTCATCTTAACTCCTCCACCTCATACTCTGCACGATTCATGACAGCATAATTTAACTGATATCTAAATGAATGTTATATACTTAAACTAGTAAACTTTCTACACTTTACAGCAACCCCACTCGTTACGAATGCCAATGCAAACTCAGAAACAAATCAAGAAATAAATTTAATAGCGAAATTTTGCACGTTACTAGAAATTATAAACACTGCACAAATATGTATAGCCCTCGAAATATAATTTGAAATAATGGCGCTAAAATTACAAATCGTAAGCCTAGCATTTACATATTTATACAAATTTGATTTAAATACACTGTTTTGTAGCATATAAAAAACGTTATAATTATTGAAATAAGTTTGTTCGTATGATTGTTCGATTTCTCAAAGTTCGAACTCGACTTACTGGCACGCGTTATAGCGCATTATTAAAAAAATGTTTCATATTTACATATGTTTCGCTGAACCCTCACCATGACAAGTCACGGTTTCTGTGGACAGATTAAAAAATTGGCACATAGATAAATTCTACAATACCTTCTCATGTTGGATCTTTGTTTATTAAATGGTTGATTAACAAATTTCTTCGGTCGTTTATTCTGATCTTTGACTGTCTAGTAATTTTTTAGTTTTCTTAGTAATATAATCATATTCCAATATAACCGTATTATTCTCACGTTTTTATTATTATATAAATATTCTGAAACTTTCCGCAAAAATCTAATATTTTCTCTTCATTTAACGTTGTGTAACGTTCCTGGCGACGTTCTTTGTTTTGAAAGTCTGTTTCATATTTTAAGCTTCTTTCTCTGGGTAAAAACCTGTTTATAATGAATCCTAAAAACTAATATTAGGTTTCAAACATTTCAATTACTAAGTATGTATTACGTCAAGTAGGCGCGTATCAGTGAGAGGACCGACGATTTAATTTTATGTTTTAGGTACATGTTTTATCATAATTAAGTTACTCACGCGTTATAAAGGCAATTAAGTAATTCGACCTAGTCGTATTCAGTACACGAGCGGTCTCAGCGAGAAATTTGAAACTTTTACAATTTTGAAATATCGTAGCATCATTCATGTTCAATTTCGGGCGTAATTATGAACATTTTTTTAGCATTTCTTCAAAACGGGAAATATACTTT